CTGTCCCTCAAACATAGGGAATAATGCAGCTTCACTATCCACTTTTACCTCTAAAACCAAATCCGGCCTAAAATTTACAGCCATCGCGCTAAACTGTACATATTTAATCCGTTTACTGAGCTGACGGCTAAATTCGTAGTTAAAATAATTCTCGTAGATAGTCTGTGTCTGTAAATCATCTAGTAAGCAGGCATTTGTTAATCACGTTCATCCATTCAATCTCTTGTTTACTGACCTATTAAGAACAATTTGGTCTTTGGAAAACAAACTACCCATCTTTTCATGCAGCTATTGGAAAGTGAGTCGGGAAAGTGTACATAGATAGACGGAAATATCAACCGACAATTTCATCATTAGGCTGTGATGTGCATCTTATTTACAGTTTTTAACCCTTCACATCCATTCCCTTACTCTTGAAATGTGATACACGAAAGCGGCGCAGAACAGGTGGGCAAAGACAGTGTTTCCTGACCGCAGACGACCGCTAAATTGCAAGCAACTATCAAGACAATTCATGCTTCATGGGGAGGTAGCTTGTTATGTAAATCGCTTACTTAAGCCACTCAACAGCATAAAGAAGAGAGACTGGTCCCGGGTCCAGACAGATGGAGTCCAGAACCGTAATGACAACAATCACACTGGCACTAGGAATGTTCGGCGAAGTGGTGAAATAGGCAGTTGCCAAAATGCCACAGGGCAGAAGAGAGGAGATTTGACTTCGCTTCTATACCTGTTTGAAGAGGAAGGGCTTTGCACATGCATTGCGATAAAAGCTTTTTCAAAATGAAGAATCACATTTGACACTAGATTAACGTAGAATACTGCGGTTATGAAAAAGTGGGCGAGACATCATTCTTCAGGGTGCCAGATATGTGGAGCACGAACCGTGAAATAGCCTTCGGTATGTCATGGATATCGCAGGCGTTGTAGCACTTTGAGAGCGATTCGATGCTAAAAGGTTAGAAAAACCACAGAATAAATTGCACACGAAATATCCAACTGTTCGCTTACTACTACTTACTCCGATGTGGTTGCAAAGCCAACAGAGGAAGGTGGGAGGGCCAGATGAAAAATTCAGAATGGATTCTTATGTGGCAGGAAGAAGGAGAGGACAGAGATGGGGTAAGTGAACTGTCCAACGAAGTTGGGATCGACACAGTCCCAGTGACTGGAAAGTGTCTGGCAAGTTGTCCACAATTGAGACGGAGCTCATGACTATGAATATCACAAGGACGGGAGTAATTCTAAAGTCAGACACCAATAAAACTAACTCAAAATAGCAAAAATTTAGGAGTTTTACTCCTTTCTGATGACCGTTAATTTGCTAGTTGACTCACAGAAGTAATTTCTGCATAAGAAGCATAACCACATTACCAAGCGAGGCAAAATCCCAAAAAAAAGAGATTTTTGCTTTACTGCATTGATGGCCAAACAGAAAGCGAGTGAACAGAAGAGAACACCTGAGAATCAAATAGGAGAGAATTATGACTTGATTCAACTCAGAAAGCATAATTCATTCCTCTGAGCTAAGGGTCATCAAAATGACTGAATAATAGTGGGAAAAAACAAGTAAATAAAGTCTTCATCCGAGAGTGTAGTAGAACCTACCGATTGCATTGATGCCGCTGAATTAGAGAGGTTAATTTCTACTGTTCACTCTTGGATGACCGAAATCAGTAGCAGCCTGTAAGAAGTGACTGTCATGTCAACAGGCCTGCTAATGGTTACTTATCACGCTTAGGAATAATGCAATAACGGCGGTCAAGAGTCTGGGGGCTAGGGGTTAGGAGTCAATGTTAGCTGATTACCTGAGAGAGGGTTAGGTTAGCAAGGTTGTGCAAGAAGAAGTTCCCAAAGTCAGGGGCACGTGGACGAGGTTTAACAATGCAGAAAAGTAAATTGGTAGGCCTTAAGCTTTTAAGGCACTCACAGTAGAAGGTCCCGGAAAATATAGGATATATTAATGACCTCATTTGCCGAGCTCTCATGCGGTCACGGCGCCGCACATGTTGCATCTTTGTTTTACAATGCTAAGAGCAAACAGGGCCACGGATCAATCAAGTAAGCAGTTAAATCTTACCTGTGATAATATTTAGCTACAATCTTTGGTAGAATGGTGAGTTGAAGAATGCAAAAGTCAGTTCACCGGAAGGCCTGAATGAATGGAAAAAAGACGGGTATGAGTGAATGCACGAGTAGTAGCCCTAAGGGATAATGAAATCACTTAGCCGTCTATCACATGATGGCTTGGGGGGAAAACAACCCGCCTCAAAGTTCTCTGTGCCTTGACCGAGATGGTGGATAGGCTGTCCCCCTTACAGAAAGAGATTTGGGTGCAGTTGAGTCATTAGGCGTTGACACACCTGGAATGACTGCTTGTGTTCACTACGCCTACGAAGCTGTATGGCATCCCATTGAAGGAGGCAGGAGACGGGATAAGTAAACCCGGTGCTAAATAAAAAGAACTTCTACTGCCTGATTGGTCTCCACCAAAGTGCACTATTCATGGGACGTGTAACGTTGTCAACATTTGCATTGTAGGGTGTCGATGCTGTGAAAAACTTGCCTAATTTACATATTGTTTGTTTTCGGTGGGTCCAAAAGTTGCAGTACAACTTTGCTGTGCATACAGCCAAGTGGTATGGTTGAAGGTGCTTGAAATGTACAAAAGAGAGGCCTGATGCGACAAATCGAGCATTTCTTGATAACACCTTGTCATGCCTTATCTCGCCTTGTTCAAATGGCAATTTACTGGATTATAGGGCTTTCCACCAGCACCATACTCCATTTGTTACTTCGCCTTCCATTAGGAGTGACGTAGTGACCAAAGGGCATTACTTCAGACAAAGCATCTTGGATGCCATTGAACAATTGCCGCTGCCCACGTTACTCACTATTTCCTGTGCACTGCTTTGCGATGTTACTTTGTGGAGTAGATGTGGTAATTCTATTATCCACATAGACGGGAAAGAGCTTCGTTGGTCTACACTACCAACAATTTACGGCGGCGTCAAATGTCGCCATAATACAGCTTGAGGAGCACTAAAACGCGATCGACCCATCACAAGGAGTAGCAAGATAGGCGTATTGCCTGATAAAGGATCTTTGATGTTGTTTGCTGTTTGGGCATCAACTCTGCTACAGCCAACAGCATTTCTAACAGCACTCCACTGGCAGATATTAAGCTCCTCACCTTATGATTACTTCCTCCCCATTCTCGCAAACAAACTGAACTAGCTACAACGGCTACTGGCAGAAGTGAACCAGTGAAACAAAGGCGCATTTATTAACTCCAAAGTTGCAAATGAACACCAAAACATAAGTGACTAAATAGATGGAAATTAAATAACACGCATTTCTGCAGAGGGATATTTCCTCCTCGCGCGAATGCATCAAGTATATCATCAGCTGAAAATCGTTCTTTCCAATTAAGATCTCATAGTCTTTAAATTTCTTCTCACTAGTCATCTCCCTTACTTCACTTACGATGACAGCCAGCTGGCAATATTTAGGTGGCACCTGGCTAACACTCAAACAAATTACTCAATTAGTTACCCAGTTTTGTTACACCTAACCCACATAGTATCATTGGTCACTATTATAAATATAGCCCTGCTACCTGTGACTGCTAATCCTTTTTGTGGTCAATTTATGAAACGTCAATGTGTAGAGTTGAGTCTAAACTTGGCAATGGTGTGCCATCTGAAGAACCACATAACACTCTTTGGGTTCTCTAAAGTAAATACGACTTGCTGGCACTTTTCTTTTCCCTGTCGGTTATCAGGGCGGTACCTTAACAACCCGGACGACTACGTAACTGGTCACAACAATCTTGCATTCCTTAGCATGCGATTAAACACATTTGTCTAGATGCAGATGAGTGAATGCTTGAAGTGGTAAATATTGTAAGGCATTAATGCTGAAAATGGTAAGTCAAACGT